TCACTTGGAGGGATCCTCAAAGAAACTTCATCTGAGGTGATCCCAGACCTGATTCTTGTGTGCATGTAGGTACAGGGTCCAGCACAGTCAATCGCCCCAGTCAGCTTATGCATATGCTGGTGGTTACAATTTCTGGGTCAGTTCTGCTTCCAGCCTTGTCTTCCACACAAATCAATGGGTGTTGCAGTCCAGCCTGATTCTGCCCACCATACACTTGGCCCTCCCGCAAACCAGTTGGAGCTGTAGCTTCGTCTGAGCAACCCACAATAACCCCCACCAGGCCCACCCTCTGATTGCCAGTATGTACAGCAGACTGGTCCAGTTTGTCCCACATCCCATTCAGTTTTCATATATGTCAATGGGCATTGAAGCTTAGTTCAACCCAACCAGCCCCACTATCCAGCCCACACACATGCTAGTGTGTTCATTTCTGCCCATCCACTCTTGCTCCAGTCCTGGTTTTCATGCTCTTCAGCGGGAATTGTAACCCAAGAGAAAGGTGCCCACTATCTCCCTCCTGGGCCCACTTTCACTCCCAGATCATGCACTCTCCAGGTGGTTCTGCAGTTTAACTTGACAGAATTAGCCCCAATGCCAGCATCTGCCAGCTGATGCTGCAACAAAGCCCAATCAACCCACACCCATTCTGATTTATGCTTGCACCAGTGGGAACAGTCAGCCTAGTCTGTTTTTTCCCTGTTCTAGCTCTCATGAGGCCCACAGGTATTGTAGCCCTGCCCAGTCTGGTGTGCCCCCATCCCACCTCACTCTTTCCAGTGGGAATGGTGATCCAGCAAGGGAGCCCTTCACATTCCCCCTACCAGCTTTGTCTCCTCCTCCACCTCACCCTCCTCCACACCCCCCACCCCCCGGGTTCTCATGTGTGCTTGTTGGGTGCTGTGGCCCAGTCTGGCAGGCATGGTCCACGTCACCTCATATTTGCCAGTGGGTGTTGTAGCCTGGCCCGGTCCGGAACCAAAACGTAGACAGAATAATGTAATATCTATGCATCCATCACCTAGAAATTAAAATCATCTGTCAATATTTTATCATATTTATTTAAATATTTATGATTGTGTAAAGTACTATAAAGTTGAAGTCTTACTTGTCTTTCATCTCCATTCCAACTTCTCCTGTCCTCAGTGCATACCATCAAAGAATATTTTCCAATAAACTGTTTACACATTTATAAGAGCACATATGTTTTTATAAACAATTTATACTCTTGTTTTCTGTGTTTATTACAAAATATACATAATGGTGTCATTTTGCTTGTAGCATTCTACAGCTTGCTTTAAAAGAAAACCATCACTATGTTTTTGATCTATATGTTGAGTTACTTTGTTATATTAATAAAATGATTTCTTATGCCTACTTCTGTTCCTATTCATAGGTATTAAGGCTCTTACAAATTGAATCTTCTTCTTCCTCGTGCTATATTCCGGCTGCATCATGTAATCAAAATGACCTAGATAGACAAAACCCCTGTCCTCATGAGTAAGAGACTTATTCAAATAAATTTTTAACCCTCAAATATATAGGCAGGTTCTTCTAAGATGCTTACCTAGAAGTGTAAATGGATGAGTGCAAGTTTAATTGTGTCATATTATCGACAACTCACTCTCTGAACTGGCTGTGACAATGTGCACTCCCACCAGCACCCATTTGCTATGGCTTCTCCATACTCTTTTTCAATACTGAATGCTGTCAGACTTTCAAATCTTTGCTGTTCCGGTGGAAATAGAAGAATGTTTTCTCAGGTTGTATCCCCCCTGTTTACTGGTTTAATCTAGATCCTTTTTATATCTATTAACTCTTCAAGTTTCTGTTTTATGGCTTTCTAGTAATTGTTTTATTCTTTTGGGTTATTTGTGGAGTTCGTATTAATGTATGAGGGGAAATCATTCTGGATATGAATTATTTAACCATTATCTTACTGTTGAAAATATGATTTTCTTTAATTGTTGTCAAAGCCAATGTTTATCATTCTTTAAAATCTGTTTTTATTTTTTTTTTCTTTGGAAAGAGCATCAAGGTTAGTGCCAAGTGTAGAAAGAGCTTTACTTTTCTTATGGCAATGCAAGACAAATGTAAAGTCTCTGCCACTGGATGACTACTTGAAAATAGTTTCTGGGAGTCTAAGCAAAAACTTCTCAATAAAGGTCTTCAAACCTCTTCCCAAAGCCGAGAGAGCGGCTCCCTGCTAGCATCTTGGGGGTGGAGCGCAGCAACCTCTAGATGGCTGTGCAGAGCAGGAAAAACGGAAGTGAGTTTCACAGGCCAGTTGCTGAGCAGATGACTAGTCTTACCAGGATAACCACAAAGTGGTTTGAAAGTACATACGTTAAGTGAGATTGACCAGTTAATGATTGTTGCTCAGGCATCTCGTATTAAAAAGCTTGGCCTTGGACCTGGCAAGGTAGCTTGACAGCTAAAGTTCTCACCTTGAATGCGCCCATATGGGTACCAGTTCTAATCCTGGTAGCCCCGCTTCTCATCCAGCTCCTTGCTTGTGGCCTGGGAAAGCAGTAGGGGATGGCCCAAAGCCTTGGAACCGTGCACCCATGTGGGAAACTTGGAGGAGACTCCTGGCTCCTGACTTCAGACTGGTCCAACTCCAGCCGTTGTGGCCGCTTGGGGAGTGAATCATTGGATGAAGGATCTTCCTCTGTCTCTCCTCCTCTCTGTATAACTAACTTTGTAATAAAAATAAATCAATCTTTAAAAAAAGAAATTAAAGCTTTGCCTTGGTGATAGTCATTCCATTTCTTCTCTCCTCCCTTAGTGTCAATTGCATAATGATGCTCTTAGATCTCCTATGCTTTCATCCAAATGGCTTGCAATGACTGGTTGAGACTTGTGGAGGCACAAAAATGAAACAAAATGGTTGCATAACCATGTAAACACTTGCAAAACTATTAGATTAAAAACTCCGATGGTGAAGGTCTCTGTGGGTAACATTCATCATGGCATGTTCTCAGCATTTTAACGCTTACATATTAATCCTAGTCAGTGGTGAGAATGTGCTAGATGCTCTCTGTCCACAACTACTGACTGAATCTTCTTTTTCCACATTCTATATTCCTGGAGCACCATGTAATCAAAGTGACCCAGATAGACAAAAGTCTCACCCTCATGAAGCTTGTACTTTAATGGCAGGAAGTAGTATATAATTAGGGAGGGAGAGCAAAATGACAATGTAAAGAAATAATGCAATGAAATGGAGTAGAGAGTATGTGTGTGGGGCAGGGCAGGGGAGGGAGAAAGGCTGGTGTTAGGGCTGTGTTAGGTGTTCCAGAAGCTTCTTAAGGAGGAGTTCACAGTGACTGAGCGTTTAGTAGGTAGAAGTGTGTAAAGCCAGCTGCTGGGCTCCAAGAACAGTCACTCCCATGTGAACAAGTGAGTATTATTTTGTGGGGGCACTTTGAATCTTGACAAAGACCAGGATCAATGCCAGGTTGGAAGGAGTGAATGAATGTGTGAAATACGCTCCCACTTTCCTGAGACAGTAGCTATGGCACTGAGAAAACAGCAGCCTCAGGACAGCAGCGGTGCCGGTGGGCGTGGGCTGGCCTGTTAACTGCCCCAGCGTCTGTGCATCTCCCAGGGCTCCACAGGTGTTTGAAGCCCAGGTAATGTTCTCATCCTGTAGACAACTCTGATCTACACGTGCAATGGTTTAACAAACGCGTCAGGGAGAGGCACGGCAGGTGCAGAAGTGAGCTGACCCACAGAAACTGCTGTTGTCACAAATCAAACCATCAGACAACTAGGATTCTTTCCATATCAACTAATCACAGACTTGCCTGAGCTTTTACTTATCTTCTAAAATCGAGTCAAGGTCTTTGCAATATCTGGGAAGTGTGCAGGTTCCTTGCTCCCTCACTCCTAATCTCACTCCTTGACGAAGGAGAACAAAACGAGGCCGTTTTCTAGATGTGTGGTGTTTTCCCCAGCCAAGCGTTTTGGTCAGGGAGACTTCACCTTTCCAGGAGGAATTTCCCTGTTTGTTCACTCCGGCGGTGCAGCTGAGAGAGCAAATGAAAATGCTCGCTCACCTTGGGGAATGCACTGACGCGCGGGTGTGTTTTCCATTCTCTGTCGGCTTCTTCATCGCCATCTCATCTAAGAATGTGTTGTGGGTTTTTCACAAAGTGTGAATCTAAGAGTTCTGGTTTCACGTTTAGCCTCCCCCTGATCCCCACGCCCCCTTTTGCTGGCAATTGTGCGCTTCTTTTTAAGGGCCTTGTAGAAAGGGGGAGCTGAGGTTGAGGGCCCCTTTAGTTGGTTCTCGCGTCACTCCGCTCTGCACGTCCACAGCGGAGGTCGCCGGTCGGTTCTGCAAAGCCCGTGGCGGGCGAGGAGAGGGAGGTGTCCCGTCGGCGACAGGCTCCCGCTGGCGGCCGGCGGGCCCGCGGGGTTAACCGGGGCGCCGAGGTCAGCGCCCTCGAAGTTGGGGGCCTCGGGCAGAGCCACGGGCGGCAGCCAGACCAGCGCGTCCCTCTGTGCCCAAGCCTCGGGGGGACGGGGACTCAGAGCGTGTCTCAATCCAACGGAGGATCTCGCTCTACAGCCGGTGCAGCCTCTTCCACGGGTTGCGCGCGCGCGGGACTCACGCAGCCGAAGCGCAGCGGGCAAAAGGAAAAGCCCAGAGCTGGGGGGTCGAGGAGGAATGAGGGGCCGGGAGCCGGGGGGATTTCCTCCCGCGCTTCCCTCTCCAACGGGAGCGGAAAATGTGATTTGCTGTGCATTCCAGGCGCGGTTCCCTGGGGTGACCTCTCCCAGCCGGCCCGGGCGGGGGGGAGCAGACAAAGCGGCGAGGCGGGCGGAGAGGGGACCCCGCGGGGGAGCGGGAGGGGTGCGGGGGCGGGGGCAGTACCGGGAAAGGGGGCGGATAGCGGGTCCCGCGGCAACGGCGGCGCCTGGCCAATGGAGGCGCGCCGCCCCGGGCGCCGTGCTCAGCCGCCGGCATTTAAACCCGAGACCGCGCGATGCCCGACACTCGGTGCGCCCTTCGCGGACCGGGCGACTCAGTGCACAGCCGGAGCCTCGCTCTCGGTTCTGCTGACCCCGCGCCCAGCCCGGGAGGCTCGGGCAGCGGCCGAACGCGTCGAGAGCGCAGGTCCCAAAGTCACGCCACCCTGACAGGTGAGCGCGGGGACACCCAGCAAGGTGGGTGTTAGGGTGTGTATTGGCGTGTGTGTGTGTGTGTGTGTGTGTGTGTGTGTGTGTGTGTGTGTGTAAGGGTGTGTGCACGCTCCTGTACGAGTACTGGAAGCGGGGGTAGGGCGCAGCAAGGGACCCCTGAGTGCTGTATAACTCCGACGCGCTGGAGCCCTTACTGCGCGCAAATCGGGGTCCTGTGATTCCTTGGGGATGATCCTCCAAGAACCAGTCCCGAACGAAGTCCTTCTTGCCCAGGGCGTGAATACGGTGATCTTGCAGCTCCTGAGTTTGCAAGGAAATATAGACAGAAAGGGTGTCAAAGGCGGGCGGGACAACCTCGCATCTCATTTTCGCCTGATGCTCGTTGCCGCCAGCGTCTGTCAGAGTCAGCCATAAGGCCAGGGCGCGAAGTCCGGACAACCAGTCCGCCCAAAACCGCTAGGACCTCCAGCTCGGCAAGTGCCACCAGAGATGGTCCCATGAGCAGGGAGAGCTGTGCAATGCCTGGGGACGTTATTGAGGTTACCCTGGCAATCCCGTAAATGACCCTGCCTCGGGACCGGGAGGTTCCGGAGAGCCGGTGTCTTCTCTTGTGGGCAGACCGGGAGGTGAGACGGCAGGAGCGCGCCAGCCGCGACGGACAGCAGATGCCCAGTAGCTTGACACCTGGAGGGCGACGCGCGGTCACGGCGTCCAGCCAGCCCACAGTGCGCGGGTCGCACACAGCACTCGGGGCTGGCGGCACGCTCGCTAGCGCTCGGTTTCCTATTCCTAGCCTCTCCCCGCCCGGCGCGCTCCTCGGTGCAACTGCAGACGTGCAGGCGCCGGGCGGCGACCACCGGCTGCTTCCCACTTCCGCGGGAGCCCCTTAATCTAAGTCCTCCAGGCACCCGCCTCGCCTCGCTGCGCCTCGCTAGCGACCGACGACAGTGCTCCCTAGCCGTCTGCAGCCGCCCTTCTCGCTCTGCCGACCCCTCCAGAGCTAGCTCAGCAAGACGGGATGGGGAGAGGGGGCGTCGTTAGCTGTCACCTCCTTGGGGTTATTGTAGACTTCAGACTTAGGAAGAATAGACCTCGTGCAGGTCTCGCTGGCCGTTGCCCTCAGATTCCGGTGACGCCTTGGATGCGCCCCCAGCTCGGCGTTTACCTTTGCGCTGGGCTCTGGCGACCACCTCTGGTCCAGGCGGGCACAATCCCGAGAATGACCAACCTGTGCAGCGAGTCCCTTCCCTCTCCCAGGCCTTTCCCTAGCGCGCTCCCAGCTGGAACCATTCCTCTCTACATCACGGACTCCGAATTCGGGCTCATTTGGACAGAAATATAGCCTAAAAGTTAGGGGTTAAAATCTCCTTTTAAATGTTCGGAGGGCAGAGAGGCGAGGCTCAGTAGGTAATTGGATCTGCTTTTGGAAAGAGCAAATCTGAGCGGTGTGCTCCTGTGTTTATGTTCCCCTGAGACGGTGCCAGGACACGCAGTGATTAAAACAATCTAGGGTGTTCAGTGGGTCACCGGGGTTGTAAGCTCCCCCAGGGACCCTAGAGTCGTGGCTTCCTTTAGGCTGTACACACAAGTTAAATAAATAGCGCTGAAGAGGTTAGGATAATCCGGATCCCAGGGTGAGGAGTCCTCTTTCACCCCCAGGGTTTACCCCCTCCCGTCTCCTCCTCCCTTTCTTTTTAAGGGCGGAGGGGAAGAAAGGAGGGGGCTTGAGGTGATGGACTTGTCAAAGCTAGGAGGGAAGGATCTTAAGAAAACTCCCTCCCCGCAGCCCAGTCACAAGCAGCAATTTGATTACTATCGCTGAATAAATGGCACTTTGGAGTTGTTAGTATTAACTAATTACTTAAGGGTTCTTTAGAACTTGTAGCGGCAGTAGCCACGTGTGTATCTCTCTAAGTGTGTGCTTGTGTGTGTTTAACCTCTGGGTCATTGTAGGAATTAGAATCTTTTGTAAACTTTGTAATTTCACAGGTTTCCTATTTTCTTAAAAGTTCATTCTGAGTGAAATGTTTTGGTAACCCATCATCTGTAGGAGATCCAGGCTAGCTAATGTAGTCTTTATGTGGGCGAGTCCACAGGAAAGACTGGAAACCTTGCAAGGTCCTCATGGCCCCTGAATGAGAGCCATCTGCCCCTGTCTTCTAAACTGAAAGCATGAAGACTTCAGTCTCCATGGTCAAGTACTACAAATGTGAAGGCATTTCTTGCCAGTAGACCTCTCTATCAAAAAAAAAGCTTTATACCAGAAAAGCTTAGAGCAGGTCTAGGATGGAGAGTAACTCAGGAAACCTAAACCCTTTATATAAAGAAGAAGTGATGGTGGTGGTGGTGGTGAGAGAGGTGACAGCAGTGGCTAACTGAAAGACAAAGCTCAAGCAAGTGCTACCAGCCCATGTCTTATATCTGCAAGGGATTTTCTTTAGTTTCACATACATTCTCCGAAATGTGTACTAGGTGTTCCTGGCAAAAGAGTTCTCCTTTACTGTTGAACAGGAAGATACAAAATCAATAATTACGTAGCTTGCAGAATTCTTCACAAATCTGCATGCCCCGTGCTAACCCCTGTGCTGGTGGCCATGATGGTGCTTTAGGACACTTGGTTGGGACCAGGTAGAGCTGGGATGCAGCCTTGCTTCTCCCACTTCAGAACTGAATGACAGATTTCTCACTTCTGAATCTAGACTCCCTGCTTAGTAAAATGAAGACGATGGTCTCTACCTCATATTTTGCTGTGGAAAATGATAGCATTCAGACAGACGTGAGAACAATCCTGGGAATAGTAAGGGCTTGTAGACGGTACCTCTTATTACTACTAGCACTCTTGGGAGAAGTAGTCCGAGCAGGAAATATCAGGATGTGTCACAGGGAGGCAGTAAGTTAAGTCGAGGATCCCACTTACCGAGTGACGGACACAAATCTCTTACTGCAATACAGAACCTGTAACTTGGCTGCCTCAATAGCAGCTGCTCAGTGAACATGTAATATTTATTAATTTCTAACTTATTTCCTGTTGACCTCAGGAATTATATGCAATCATTAACTTTGTTTTAAAAAGAAAGTCTAATGAGCATTGAGCATGTGAGGTATTTAACTGCCATATTTCTGCAATGTTGGGCTCTAGCCTGCTTTTGCCTAAACGATCTTCCAGCTAGGCAGGTTGTGCTTAGAGTGAAACGTGGAGGGAGTGAGATATTTGTCCTCTTGTCAGTGAGCCAGCCATTACCTCTCCTTGTGTCCTAGTTGCAGCTTATATGGGAAAACGTGCTATTTCTTAAGACACTCTTAAAAACGTCTTACTTTTTGTAAATTAAAGATTTGGCTACAGATAACCTTGATTTCTTCCCTAAGATTTATTTCTGAGAAACAGAAAATGTTTATCCTAAAACATGGCCAACACTTGGAGCATTTGTAGTCACTTCCATTACTTCTTATGCCGAGACAATAATTTGATATCATGCCTGTTGAGTGTTTTTATTAAATATGGTTCATTGGGAGGAACTGACCCAGAAGTTCAGGCACAGACATCTGGCTTTCACTCTAATTTCTACTCAAAACTCAATTTAACTGATTTCGAGCAGATTGATTAGGTAAAATGAAAACGACAGCCTGAAAAGTGCTGAAAGGAGCTGATCTAAACTTTTCCAAAGATCCCAAAGAAAAATGCAAATGCACATGTACCATATCTTCTTCTGGGCCCCAGAAGGAGAAAACTGGGATGAAAGAGCCTTTAGGAGACTGGCAGAAGGGCCATGATCTGCACAGAGTAGAGGGGTTAACATTTGTTTTGCGTGCCGATATTTATGCTTGTTCACTAAGGGAGACTGGGAGAAAATCAGGAGGCAGGGAAGACCTGCTTCAGGAGGTGATGAAAGAGCAAGAAGGCATGGGTAGTGAAAGGCTTGTGAGGAGAACAATTGCAGAGACCTGTAACCATGACAAGCTTGACTTGGAAAGGCAGAAATGCATTAGGGTAAATGGAGGCTAGGCTTGAAGAAACAGTGGAAAACAGCTCTCTGGGAAGGAAAATCAAAGAAGCTTATCAGGTAGTGCAATGGAACTCCAAAGAAATGATGTGAACAGGTCATTTCCCAAGTGGAAAATACAGGGTTTGTAGCCAATGGTCAGACATTGAAGATAAATGTGTATAGCATTTGGATTGACTTTTGGTTAAATGGGCACCCTGTTCAGGGTTGACATGGAAAAAATATTCTCAAGGAATTACCATTTCCTTGGCTTCTTCCACATTTATGACATTTACAAAGTCCAGATGATTTGGTGGCAATACAATTGGGATTTCAAGAGCAAGGCCTTCTTGTGTCTTTCACTGATTAATCAAGATCAGTGTGGGGGGCGGTGGCGAGGCTGCTTGAGCATCTACTCACGATGACTTGACAGAGCCCTCGTCCCAGCACTGGTAGAAGCTCATCTCCCTGCCTCTTTCTGATGTAGGGTCCCCCTGCAGAATACATATGCATGCTCATAAGCCAAGTTCCCTATGACACGCCATTCTTGAAGATGGCTTTTTCTTTCTCTGAAAACTATGAAATTTAACATCTTGAAGGCCTCACATAAGCACTGAAGATCTTTAAAGAATGAGCTATTAAAAATGAAAATTTGGACCTGGTGCAGTAGCCTAATGGCTGAAGTCTTTGCCATGCACACACTGGAATTCCATATGGGTGTTGCTCCCCATCCAACTCCTTGCTTGTGGCCTGGGAAAGCAGTAGAGGATGGCCCAAAGCCTTGGAACTGTGTACCCATGTGGGAGACCCAGAAGAGGCTCCAGGCTCTTGACCTCAGATCAGCGTAGTTCCGGCTGTTGGAGCTGCTTGAGGAGTGAATCAATGGGTGGAAGATCTTCCTCTCTGATTATATGACTTTTTAAGAATAAAAAAAATCTTAAAAAATGAAAATTAATTTTATTTCTATTCAGAATACACCTTATTTTTGAAATAATTTGTTGTTCTTGAAAAATAAAAACTCGTTTGTCACTCTAGATCTCCTTGGACTTATGGTATACATGTTTTCATTGAAACAAGACTTCTGTGCAAATTAAAACCAAAGACTACATTTGAGCCATTTTAAACTTACTGTTTCATTTTTGGCATTTGTCATAGTGTAGGCAGAGGCTTCATTTAACAGATACTCTCTGCAGTGGTTTGTATAGGAGCAGATGAAAAGTCAGGGACCATTGGCAGCTTTCCTAGAAAGCTAAAGACAAGCCCTAGGAAGCTTTCAAGGCTAGGGGTTTACCATGCTGAGGGTCAATCAGAAGTCAGAATAGAATTGGTCCTTCTGCTCACTGCAAGCAGTGAAGACATTTTAAAATGCCAAGAATGGGGGAGCTGGTATTGTGGTACCATTGGTTACCCTGCCACTTGTAATGACAGCTTTCCGTATTGGAAGGCTTGTTTGACTCTCAGATACTCTGCTTCCAACCCAGCTTTCTGTTTATACATCTGGAAAAGCAGTGGAGATTGGCCAATGTGGGAGACAAGGATAGAGTGCCAAGCTTCTGGTTGCAGGCTAACCAAACCCTGACAGTTGCAGTCATTTGGAGAATGAACCAGCAGATGGAAGAGTCTCTTTCTGCTCCTTTCAAATAAATAAAATGAATCTTTTCTAAATATTCCAACAATGGAGACTCTGTAAATCACTCTGGTTCACAACAATGAGTCATTTAAGGAATTTCCACAAGTATCTACTGTGTCAGGTGATGAATAAAGCCTCATTCACCTTCACACTAGGTATTTACTCAGTAACAGATGTGGAAATGCCAAGAGCAAAATGTTGAATATAAAGATGGCCCTAGGATGGTTCAGAGGAAGAAAATTACATTGGAGCAGGGAAGTAGCTCTTGGTGAAAGGGGATGACCTTACAATGTGAACCTGTAGTATGCAGGGAACATCTGCTCCCAGAGTCTGAGTAAGCTTCACCTCTGAGCCAGGCTTTGCGAGCACTGGAGTGTGAGGACTGAGTTGGCCCGGGGGCCATGTGTAGTCTCTGTGGAGGAAGATTGGGGGCACAGGCCTAGCGCCAGCTTACACACTTTTCCTCTGAAATGGGCAGTGAATTAACTTTATCTTAGGTCTTTGCCTTTTACTTCAGATCTCTGACTTAGTTGATTAAATAGCACAAACTTGTGAAAGCTTTTCAAATTCTCCACCTATTTGTCCAGGAGACTTAATGGTCATGGCTCAAGTTAGCTTGGTTTCTGGAGAAAATCAGTACTGTTTTATAACTTGACTTTTCTCATAAATGATTTTTTTTAGGGCAAAACAAAGAAATTAATTTTTTTGTGTTGTTGGGGGTAGAAAAGAGTCTGTTTAAAGAACAGGGATGTTGTAACATAAACTGACAAAAGCCAGGGAACCTAAAGTCAGGGCAGGAGATAAATGTCACATTATCAAGCTCCAAACTCAAACTTGCCCAAAGTGTTAGGTTAATGTTTAAAAGATGATGCCATTTAAGGATATTTCAAATTGAATATTTAATTATCTTGGTTTGACATCCTGAAGGTTGAACAGTTTTAACCCGCTAGAGACCATCTGTGAGAGGGTGCTGTTTCTGCACTGCCTTTGTATTGCAAAGATAATTTCTCTTAAAAACAATACTGACTTGTCCAGTTTCTGCAGGGGATGGAAATGATAAGGTTTCTATTAAATTGATCATGGTGACACTGCTGTTCTGCAGAGTGCAGGGCAACAGGCACTTCACAGCCGCGTTCTTGGATTCAGAACACAGAAGGAGTGGACTGGGGAGATATTTTAGTGTTCGGGTGAGATGGCTGGGATGGCCTCAGGAGGAAAGCTGTGAATTGTGAAACTGCCCTTGCTGAGAAGAAAAGCCTTCCATATTAAAAAAAAAAAAAGTTATTTCATTGAAAGACAGTACCAGAGAGAGGAAGCAAAAAGAGAGAGAGAGGCCAAACAATGTCACAGGCAGAAGCTTAACGCACTATGCCAGGACCCCAGCCCCATCCTTCCACATGCTAGCAATTCCCTCTGGGCCCATGACTACAAGTGCTAAATCTTGGCCTCTCACAGTCTGTTAGGCAAATCTGCCCAATCAGAGCCTGCATTTTGACAGGATCTCCTGGTGATCGCTGTTTTTGAGCCCTAGATGCACTGCCCTAGGAGAGTTGTGATTAAATGGATTCATCCTAACTGTATGCATTTGGAGTGTTGTCCCCTGGACCAGTCAAGTTTCCCCAATTCCTGGGGACAATTTCAACCTCAAGAATTATCATTTTGCCAAGAGGTGCTTTTACCCTTTAATCAAATGACATGCTAAATGAAGCAATAATAATTCCTAAATTAACCAGTACATACAGAAGGCTGGGTACACAAAAGCAGAATGAACGAAAGGAATATGTGGAAATATAGGTGAAAATGTGTTAGAGAAAGTTACTTGAGCAGAGAATGCTGGTAAAGAACCAAACTCCAGGTATGCAAAGTAAACATAAAACATCCCTGTAGACAGGACCCTGCACCGTGAAATTCCACAAGCCCAGCTACCACCGAGCCATAGGCAATGAGGGATAGAGCTCTTCCTCCAGCTAACTGATGCTTTTACAAAGTGAATTCTTTCAGGGGAAATGGAGTTGCAGCCAGATGTGTCTGAAGTAGCATTTGGTAGATCCTGGAATTTATTGCAAAAGATATATTATCTTAGCTTGCAGATGTCAGCCTTGGTCGCAGTAGATGGGGACCCAAACTGCCTCATTTGCATGTTAGCATACAGTGATCAGTGTATCTGTCAGTCACCGAGAGTGAAGCAGCCAGCTACCTTATCAGCTAGCAACTTGGTTCAGTTACAGATTGGGTTACCAGAACAAGCTCAACATGAAATCAGTGCTGTCAAAGCATAGTTATATTAACATAAACAAAATATCAGATCACAATAGGGGAGCAGTGTGATAATTCAATTGTGTCTACAACATGCAATGGCCAAATTGTGATAATGAGCAGCTCTGTGTCTCCAGGAGAATTATAACGGTCTAGCACTTCTCTCCTGCATACCCCTTTAATACAGACCCCCCCCCCAACTTCTCCTCCTCTCCTTTCTCTGTCTGCCCCATCTTCCCTGAACACTCTCACTCCAGGAGAATCTTCCCTTCACCAGTCTGCACGTTTATCCCCTTTCCCTCTCGTCATCCGTGTGTTCCCACTTTTTGTCGGTTTCCCCTCTACTTCATCATCTATTTTTTGCCTTTGTTCTTATGTGGCCCCTATCTAGTTCCAGACTCAAGCACAGTAATTCATTGTCCCTCATTTGTTTAACATATTTGTGATATTTATTAATGCAAATATGTTCATAAATCTATTGTATTGTGCCAATTTTTACCTTTCAAAGAGACAAAGATATAGATATATAGATATGTTTGTGGGTGACATTATCATTTAAAGGGCAGAAAAATGCATACTGTTGTATAAAGAATGATAAAATGAGTATCTGTGCTCACCTTAAAGATAAAAATGATTTTGTTGAGGATGGTCAGGTTATGTGATGTGCTGGGTGTGTCTCTTCCATCTGCCATGACATTGTATATTTGGTCAGCATTTGATTGCTTTTACTTTTACATCAAAGTTGATCTGAGAGAAGAGGTAGTTGTACCCTTGCTACAATGTGTCAGTTATTAAGAAATAAAATGACTTTACCAAAGTCATGTATCAAGCTGTTGCCTCCCAACTGAGATGAGAAACTAGTCTTGAATTTTCACCCTGTGTGCTTTCTGTTAAGTTGCTGTCCTTCCTCCAGTGCTTTCTGGGCTCCTTGCGGGAAAAGAAGAACCCAGGGAAAGCAATGCAAAGTTTCATGAGCATTCGGCTCATGGAGGCATGCATGGCCCAGCACTGGCTTTGGGGAAAACATAGAGCCTTCTCTAGTGGATGATGCCTTCCGAGCAGGGAGACTAATTGGTCGGTCTCTAAAACAAGATAAACAAACAAACAAAACATCTCCCAAAGAAGTACAAAAGTAATGTGGCATTGACACAGTAGAAATTTACTAAATATGGCCCAGTAGAAGAGCAAATATAGTGAAATGACCACAATATGAGTCCAATTTAGATAGTGTCAGAAGGCAGGCAGAAATGCTTGCCAGAGTTCATGCATGGAGAAATAGGTCCTGGCTGAATTTAAACCTTGGGTAATTCCTTGTGTGACCCTGGACATGCCTCTTCTTGGCTTGGTGACCTGGAGAGTAAAGGAAGTCAGAGGACCCAATTCACAGGGCTCGTGTGAGGTACAAGTGCACTGTTTAATATAAAGTGTTTAATGAGAGCCAAATAAAATGTCATACACCATTATTCATTTTTCGATCACCTTTCCATTTTTCATGTCTCTCCCTCTCTGTTTATCCCTCCTTTAGCATGAGCCGCACAGCCTACACTGTAGGAGCCTTGCTTCTCCTCTTGGGGACTCTGCTTCCAGCTGCAGAAGGAAAAAAGAAAGGGTCCCAAGGCGCCATACCCCCACCAGACAAGGCCCAGCACAATGACTCAGAGCAGACGGAGTCACCCCAGCAGCCTGGCTCCAGGAACAGAGGACGAGGCCAAGGGCGGGGTACAGCCATGCCGGGGGAAGAGGTGCTGGAGTCCAGCCAAGAGGCCCTGCATGTGACGGAGCGTAAATACCTGAAGCGAGACTGGTGCAAGACCCAGCCACTTAAGCAGACCATCCATGAAGAGGGTTGCAACAGCCGTACAATCATCAACCGCTTCTGCTATGGCCAGTGCAACTCCTTCTACATTCCCAGGCACATCCGGAAGGAGGAAGGTTCCTTTCAGTCCTGCTCCTTCTGCAAGCCCAAGAAATTCACCACCATGATGGTCACCCTCAACTGCCCGGAACTCCAGCCACCTACCAAGAAGAAGAGGGTCACACGTGTGAAGCAGTGTCGTTGCATATCCATTGATTTGGATTAAGCAAAGTCCCATCACAGCCAGCCTGTTCTAGGGAGGCAGCCCCAGGCAGGCTCAGAGCCAGACCCCAGACAACCCAATTCTTACTTGGCTTTCACCAAGAGGCCAGAACTACCAGCTGCTTCCTGGCAGTAGCCTGCTTGTGCGTAGTTTGTGTGCATGAGTATGCATGGGGGCCTGTGAGTGTTCTCAGACACCAGAGGAAACAGTCTCTGCTAGAGGACATTTCCTGCTGTGTAAACACATCTGGTTCAGATGGGGATGGTCCACAAAGCTCACGCCAGCCCGACACATCCAAAGGGGCAGGGCTGTCGTCTGCTTCTGCCTTGGCTGTCCTGTGCCCTCTTGGGGACTTAAGAGTGAATCTTAACAGAAGAAGTTTCTAGTTTGTGGGACCGGGATCTGGGTTAGTGCGCATAGACTTGGAAAAGTTACTGAATTTGTGCTTGCTTCCTCCCTTCCCCAGTCCACTCATTCTTTCTTAAGTTCACAGTGACTATTTCAGTTCTTATCCCATGTCTGCCAAGATTTCGAAATGAATTCACTTGACTATGGAGATGTTTTTCATTTTGCAGAAACTTTCCAGACTCGGGGGGGGGGAGGGAGTTTGGTGTGGACAAGGACAAGTGGGATAGAGGAGTGAGCAATGGAGACTGTGGGTGAGGACCTGTGGGCTCAGCACAATTCAGGAGGGAAATGTGTAGATTCTTTAAAGGGTAATTCTAAATCCATGAGCCCCTGCTTCATTGAAAGCTTTCCCTGATCATCAATAGACCCAAGTGAACAGAGGAGAAATGTGATCACCAAAAAAAATCATCAACTTTGTCCCTATGATCTGCTAAAACTAGCTGAAATCCAACACCGCACTGAAAATACAAATATTTATTCCTGTTTTCAGAACCAAATAAACAAACTAATTACAGCTAGAAGTATATTTTGAGCCCTCCTGGTTTTGCCATTGTTGGGAGATTGAACCAGAGAGAAGACAAGAATCAAATAAATGAAAGGGATTGTCTCTGGCTAAGGAATAGTTAGGTTTTAATACCTGAAAGAGTTGTAAGGGATATGATCTGTGAGGTTCTAAGGGGGAAATTCTCTTACAAAGCAGATTACTAGGGTGGCTAAGCTGTCCATCTACTGGTATATCCATGTGACATTGTACCTTTCTCTCTTGTCCTGTGATTAAACTTGATCTGCTTCCAATGACTAGTTAGAATTTACCAGAATGCCAAAGTACAGAGTGGATGAGCCTTTCTGCACTCTGGATTTAGACAACCTGTTCTCTTTATGCCTGAGGTTTTATTTGTAGACCTCCCAGATGCTCTTTTTTGCCTTGTATCTTCTGAGCCTCACTAGCCAAGTCATGTCATATGGAAAACAAACATAGACTTGGGATTCAATTGCCCATCAAGGCTCCAGCATTCAAAAAACCATTGCAGCCAAAGATGCTGTTTTTATTTGTTTTTGTTTTGGTCCAGTGCTTTCCCATCTAACAACTAAACGGGAACCATATTTTAAGGCAGAAATGATCTTGAACGCCCAAAATGTTGGGTCTAATTTTAAAACTTTTAAGCTCACTACTGATGATCCTACACCAAGCACATTTGTGCGAACACATAGTCTGTGTATTTTGTATACACAGTATGCTCCTGCTCTAAATTGTTGCATCATCCACATCCTCCAACAAGAAAGCACAGAACGGATTTAATTAAGCACACAAATGTTAAAGCAGGAGTTTGAGGGTCGGGGGCAGAGGAAAAGAAAGGGAAGAAAGTGAACATGTAAAAACCACACCAGAAAGGAAAAATGACATTCAGAACCAGCAAACATCGAATTTTCCTTGCTGTTTTAACTGTGCCACAAGCATGCAATTTTGTTAAGAAGAGATGACTCAAGTTGGCAGAGGTGATCTTCTTTTAGGAGCTTGTACCACAGTCTTGCATGTAAGTCGGATTTGGCTCAAGTAAAGAGAGTTTCCTCAAAATTAACTTCACGGGATAATTAGCAGCATACCCACCCAAAGAGCACAGCCATAGCTTAAGAGGAAAACGTCTGCTTTTCTTACGGTGCCTATATTAAGACCAGCACAACTATGATGTGTCATCCAACATTTATTGAAAATGCCATATCTGTTACATATTGTAGTGGAGTCACCAATGATGTAATGCTATAATGATTTTCATTATCTTAGTGGAATTTCTAATGGCAAGATATCTGTGATCGTAATCTTACCTGTTAAAAATAATGCCAAACACCAAATCAGAATTCTATGATGTGTACTTTGTGTTTGGTATTAGAAGAGGAAAACACACATCCTGTAAGTTGCTTTTTGTTACTGTAAATCTTCGAAGTTAAAAGTGTAAGTGAAAAATCTGGAGGGAAAGATAATTTCCACTGTGTGGAATGTGAATAGTTAAACAAAGAAGTTATGGTTATTTAATGTAATTATTAAGTCAAAGTCTCTGGTCACTGTGAGTCCCAGCCTGTTTTCTGTTTCTCCTTCATGTGACTGCCTCTGAGTTGGGCAAAGAAGAAGCTGGCACAATGTGTGTTGTCGGAGACTTTTATCAGGTCAGAGGGAAACAAAATCTCGACACATCTGAAGATGCATTGCAGAGTCAAGATCTGAGATTTTATTTTTTTAATTGATTGTTCCTTAAAGGTTAACATTTCTGAAGAAATATTAAGAAAGACTTTTAATGTTATTTTGGAAGACTTATGATGTGTGTTATACAAACAAATAGTAGATGATAATGCAAAGTTCACAAAGTCCTGTAAAGGGGGGAAAAAAGTCTAAAATCAGAACTATGTCTAGAACATTTATAAACGACCAGTTAATGCTTAAGAATGAGAGTAGTTCTACTGATTTGTTATTCTTTAAAATATTTAATATCAACCTCACTATGTATTATGTCTCCTTTAATCATTTTAAAACAACAGACAGTAATATAGACTGTGATTGAGGGGCCTTGCTGTGTATGAGGGTAAGAGGGGATTAGAGAATCTCATAAAAGCTAATTTGGCTTGAAGTTTTCTAAATCTGTAACTAGATTCTAATTTTCACCTCAATAATGTTCTATGTAATCTTTGTCAAAGAGCAACCAATAAATTAAACCTCTTCTCTCTGTGTATATGTGTCTTAAGTGGTAATGTTTACAGGGCAGGATTCACTCCCTTCTGGGGAGGGAGCTAGAGGAGACACTGAAATCTCTTCTTAGTTTAACTGGAATAGATCTCATGTGCTGAGACCTTTCTTATCCTGCTTGGTTTCAGTAGGACACCATGGACCATGGCAGTTAGAGGCAAGGAAGAGCTGGCTAGTCTGCAGTTCCAAGTACCAGTGCTTCTGCTTGAGGGAAGAGCTGGGAAGGCTGGTGGTAGGGGAAGAGTTTTTACAAATGTAAGGGCTTTGTTTCAGAGTCTCCTACAGAAAGTCTGAAGGAAACAGCAAGAAAAGCTTTCTCAGTGATACCATGAGCTGCCCCTTGAAGAAGTGAACTCCTCTCCTTGCAAACGTTTTAAAATATGAGAATGCTAGATAACATGGGATACGAAGACAGGTAAAGTGAGTTATTGCCCTAAGATCCCTTCCCTTTCAGAACACAAGATTCCATGGTCAGTATTGGTGATCTGACAATAATAGGAACAGTCTATGTGCTTAGGTAGGATGCTGTGAAAAGAGCTTTATTTGAATTGTTTCTCACGTCTCACATTGGTCCAATGAGATAGCTGCCATTATCATCTTGCCTAAAAGCAGTCATTTATATGGTCCTTGTGTAGCACCTGAGTTCTTTAACAACAAACATAAGATTTTCAACTTTTATTAATTTTTTCTCTGAAAGACAAAGAACTCAGAAAATGGAACAGTAAAAATAGATGCAACTCTTAATTATTCTGACCTAATGATGAACTCCACCCTGAGGTTATAGCTGCCATCTTCAGGAGCTCCAACATGTGAGAATCTTGAAGGCCAATTATATACAAACGCTTCTTTGCAGGCCAAGGACTGAACATACTCAAGAAAGCTCTGGAGAAGATCCTAAACTCTGCCCTTATGTTGATCTGAAGACACTACACAATCAGAAATGCAAGCAAAGGCAGACTTTTCAAGTTTCTGGCTAAGTGATAAAGGTGTGCCCCAACTTTACATGGAGCTCCTTGGCAAAGACTAGTAAACTTAGGGATTCTAAGTATCTAGGGAAATCACAGCTCAACTATTAACTGACCACTAAACTGACCCTGCAGATGCTTCAACAGCTGTACCGAACATGTATTAGAATTTGCAGAACTAGTTCAAAAAAGTCATCATGCAAAGAAATAAGCAAACAGCAACAAACACCAATAAGTCCTAAAAAAAAAAGCGGGGGAAGGGAGACTGATTCCAAAAGCTGTTGTATGATTTAAAATGCCAGTTTTCAATAAAAAATTGTGAGACACACAAATAAGTAAGAATATATGGTATACAGATGAAAAACGAGAATTTTAATGAAGAGATAGAAACTGTAATATGTAACAAAAAGAAATTATGTAATTGAAGAATATTATAATCATTCTGAAAAACTCACTAGCGGGAATGAATAGCACACAAGATCGAGAAGAGTTAGTGAACTTAAACACAAGGTATAGAAAAACATTCAAGTCAAAGTAGAAATGAAACTTAAAAATATTAAGAAAACTGAAGGAACTTAAGGGATACCATCAAATAGACCACTATTTTTCATTAGGGGGGCCTAGAAGAGGGGGAGGGGAGAGAGAGAGGGTGAGAGAGAGAAAGAGAGAAAGAAAGAGAGAGAGTGAGCAATAAATGATGAACAGAAAGCATGTCAAAAGAAGGAATGAATGAAATCTTTGCAGTTATTAGGAAGAGATGAACATCTGATCCAAGAAAGTTAAAGGACATGAAATAAGATAAACCTACACAGGTACACCACAATAAATTGGTCAAACGTTCATTGGAGAATTTAGAAAATAGCTAAAGAAAGTGATTTGTCTTATTCAGGAATACATCCATAAGACTATTAACAATTTTTAATAGCTTGACAGGCC